TCGACGAGCTAACCTGGAAAAAGATGAAAGAGGCATCTGTAAAAGGGTTTGAAAAGTTACCGCAGAGTGAACAGGACGCCATCGAACTTTGGGTCCTTGCAAATATGGATGTTCACGTCCCTGAAAAGCTGATTGAGGATCGAAAGACCGATTTGCGAAAGTGGAACATGGTATGGAAAATTCTCTTCCCAAGCTCTCAAATCCCCCAGAGTCCATGTAGGTACTTCACCCCTTACTTTGTTTATTTCCCTGATTTATATTCCAGTCTATGATGACGATGTCGTCGTGTCCTTGCCCAACACTGAGCTTCTCATCATTTCCTTTAAGGAGATGGTTGAGTCAAGGATCGAAGCCGGAGACATCGACAGCATCGACCATGTGAATTTGGAAAAACTGCTGGATACCTTACGGGGTGCAATTACTGTTGCGACAAGGACCACCAAGCAACAGCAACGACCTGGAGAATTGCCGTCCCCGTCACAAAAGGTTAGCGTAGCAATGGTGAGTCAAAATGCTTCCCTGGAAGGAAGCACTTTGACTGAAGACACTATGCTGGATCCAAACTCAGGCTCACTTTCGAAAGAATTGACAGTCACACCCCACCAAATCCTAGAGACACACGATCCTTCACATTCACCAACGGCAATGTACCTGGCTCAGAGCGCTTATCAAGATGAAATCCATGCCACACATTTTCCTCAAGATGGTTTTACTCCGTTTATGCCTGGGAACGCATTCATAGACACTCCATTGGAAAGTTTGCAAGGGGCTGGATTTGACAGCGAGTATAATTTTACGTATGACTTTCACATGCAGAATACTTCAAGAGATATCCTAGATCCTGTGAGTGGGGGGGACTCAAGTCCCTCCAGGAGAAACTACGTTGACATTCTTACGCCGGGAGCAGAGTTAAGCGAGGAAGGTGGGAAGGACGGGGTCTGATAAAACACGACTTGGCGATTTTGGGAGATTTACTACCAGAAAATATCGCATTGAAATGAAATGAGGTGTACTAGTTGAATTCCTGATTCAGTTCAGCGTCCTAGCACTTACTAAAAGCACATGTTTAGTGTATGCATGCGTCAATTACAGACAACACACTCAACGCAGTTCAAACGATTTGGCAGAACGAAGACCAGCATCCATCTCCTCAATCGCTTTGCCTTCCATATGCCCACCACTAATATAAACCTCACCAACCAAAGTGTAAAACTTCCCGTCTTTCCGCAACCAAAACGGGACTCTTGATCCAAATAAAACACATACCAGATCCCCAGCCAAGACATGCGGAGGCCCTATCCCCATTATGCCCGTTTTCCCAAGGAAGAATTGTCGACTGCCAGCAACAATATCTACCTTCAGCCGATCTTCCTGACGTGGCGAGTAACCGGGACCAGATTCATTTGGAGCACCGCAGATATCAACTGTGAGCGTCCTGTCGACCTCTATTACTATAATATCTGTGATAGCCTTCCTCTTGCTGACAAGATCGCAGCATGAATCGAGCACGACTTTATATCTTTCCCGTGAGAGTAGGTTTCCGAAATGCCCTTTTCGATATCGTGGAGCGACTTCTTCTACTGTGTCGATGAGCAATCCTTGGATAGAAAGTGTAAATGTTTGAGTTCCGGCAATTTTATCTTTCTCTACCTCCATGCAGCAATAGGCTGGCAGCTTCTTGGAGGGTTGAAATCTGGACTCACGGATTCCTTGCTGTCTGGCGTCGGTAGCTTCTAGAGTAAGTGGTTCCCGGGTTGCTCGTGATCCAACTGACCAATCTGGGCACCAGGTAGGTAGAGCAAGCTGACTTCGGTGGGCCGGATACCCACAGAAGGCAAGGATATCTAAGGATCGATCTCGTAATATTATTGACCATGCGGTCCGGCAGTAAACTGAGGCTGGGTCGTTGAAGTAATCAGGGAAATTCGGTTGTCCGGAGGGATGAGACCTGAAACAGCATATATTCTATCTCTCAGATCACTCGATTGTGCCCGCCTGATTTTGCGAAGGAGATATTTGATGTTGAGGTGGGACTTGGGGTTCCAAGAGTGCCGCAAGTCGTCGATGACGGATATCAAATGAATTGTTGGTCGGTTGACAAACGGTAAAAGTATGTAACGTATGGCTTGCGGAAGTTGAGTTGATAGAAGATCGATGCCCATCGCCATGAGAATGCGGGCAGTAATGAAGAAAGGCTGAGAGTCCATTGATCGGGTATCCCATAAAAGTTCAACGGTTTTGGCAACCACAATTTCTTGCCATATCCAAACACGATTCCAAAAATCGTAATGGTAGAACTGCCCCAATGCTTTGGTCTTTATAAGGTACTCGTTATCTTCCGTCTGATCGGCCAGTCTCAGCTCTTCCAAATACTCGAATGTGATGATTTGTACGATGTCGTCGTGTTCGCTGGTCTGAAGCTCCCGGCTCATCATGAGAGTACTTTTGTACTGGGCTTTGCGTTAGACATAGTCCTGATAGAAAGAGTGAGCAGCATTGAAAGTTAATTCCCCGCCATGTAGTGATCCTAGCCACCCAATGACTCGCTCAGCTTTCTCATAGACACTTCTCATCTTCTGCATCTGGTTGTTGCGCTAGAAGACGTCGCTTTGGTTGATACAAATCTGATCCGTCCAGAGGAGTCGGCTTTTATCGGGATGGCGCAACCTCTTGATCGCTGCGACGAGCGTTGCGAATACGTTAAATGGAAAGCCATTGACCATGACCTGGCCAGTCTTATGCGGGTCCCCAACACGGTATGACAGTGCTTCATAGCTGCTTTCAAGATGAAAGGGCTCAATGATGTTGCATCTGATGATGTCGTCACCAGTTCCTTGTAGGACCTCGAGCACACGGAAGGCTTCAGTCTTAGAGTCCAGGGGCTTGTAGACCTGCGCAGCGTAGAATTGGGAGTTCTCGGGGGTATAGAAGTTGCTGAAGGGTAGCTCAGCTCGGACAATTGCTGTTGTGCTCTGCAAGCTCTCTTGCTCGTAAACTTCCATCTCCATCTTGCTGAGTGACAGGAGGGAACAAAAGATATAGTGAGGCTGAGTTTGAAGTTTCCCTCCCTCATGACGCTAAGATATGCAGCAGACAAGCCCAATCACATGCATGATGCAGGCTGGATAAGTTGTGAACTGGCCCCCACATTGGGGATCTCCGCATCGTTGCTGCGCCACACGCCAGAAATATCAGAATTTCTACGCCTAGGGCGCTGAACTCCCAGGGAGAAGATTCGCTAATCTTCGGGGCAGTTTATTCTGAAGTCTGGAACGAGTAGTATCGTATTCTCAACCGTAGATCTTGAAGGGAATACCACCGAAACGTGTAAATAACAGATTGGGCATGCTTAGGTAAGATCACGAACACTTTACTAGTCAGTGCAGCAAATAGATCTAGGACGCGAAGACGATGAAGCGCATTTTGGTGGTTGTTTAGGGGGTTCGTAGGTGGAGGAGACTTAAGCAAGCGAGAGAGGGGGCCAGAATCGTTACATTAGCAGCGTTCACGTGACTGATGATATTGCAAGTTTGTATACCAGCTGCAACTCTTGCCCTTTTTCCTTGTCAGTTCCAATTGTAACGTTTGCTAAATATTCAAAACCTCAAGTGATGAGTCCATATGCTCAGAGATTCGCCGCCGGCGGGCCGGCCACGCATGTCATGGCCTGGTTCCTGTGCCCAAATGATTAGCTGAAAGAGAGATGTAAACTTGAATTGATGACAGCCAATGCGATATTCATTTGAGAATGCAGGGACTGACTTACTTGGTGATCAGGCGAAGGATTTGGTTTGGAGCAAAGTTCAGAGCCAACTGGATGTCTGCCTCAAATCAGCGACTGCGATATGGAAAGCTACGCACGAGGGCTATGTAACACCTATTTCAAACAGTTCTCATTAGCAATTCGAGAACAGCATTCACGTCAAGAAAATGAGGTGACTTGGGACATTTCTTACACGTAACATTAGTGGCGTTGACCACATATGCTAGGTAGGCAGCCAAATCGGAGAGTAACGGCATAATGCTTGCAGCGACGTTTGAAGCTGACTATAATGCTGGAGGGCGTGAATCTCTATCCAATCATTCATTGGCGATTGACACAGGATCATCATTGCGAAATCTCGTATTGAAGTAGTTTGCGTTCACCGCAGGATATTTGTCGGCATCATAATATCCTAAATAGCGAACCTTCGCAGGTGGAACCCCTTTAATTAGGACTCTATCAAGGTGTCGTTGGGCCAGAGCCATGCAGATTAACTTGGCCATTTCGAGTCTCCTGGACAGACTTTGCATTCGCCTGCGGCCGCTGTGGTTGTAGAATGCCTAGTCGATCGGGTCGATGCTGCGCTGGAAGTAGTAGAACTTTCCTTAACGTCGCCATCGGGCCATTGAATCATTTGAAACGGGAAATTGAAGCCGCACGAATGCAACAGCGTGGATGAGTATCAATAAGACCAAGGTAATGTCCATCTTTGGTTCTGAACGAGGGATGAAGTAACTGAAAGTAGACTTTGAAAATATCGGATTGCGCCTTGCTCGTCTTCCAGGGTTTTAAATCTGGGGTACACCCGGGCTTTATATACATACAGATTCCAGACTGCTGATGCAAATGATCTCAGCATAAGAACCTCTCGTATCTCTGACCTAAAGTACGAAGAAAGATTATAGCTTAAATTCCTGAACTGAAAGAAGGTGCGACCAGGCTGGTGTCACGTGAACACTTACCTGACGGAAACACAACCATCCCTAACAGCTCAGAAGTACCAGTAAGCTTCATAAGCTGATTTTGTGATATAACGCGAGTGCAAATAAAAGGCAAAGGGAATTATGCAAAAATCTGGAAAGAAGGACTTCTCCCCTTTAAGTATATGCCGCAGAAGATTTCAAAGCGGATATGTCGCTTAAACATCAGCCCTACTTTATCATTGGCTCGCTAAAATAAACCCCTATATTTTCGTTTACTTGTTCATAAGTTTAAATAAGGAAAATTTTTGCACAACGGCCGGATGGTGTAGTGTAAGCACAGTCAATTCCTACCAACTTTACTGTTACTAATTCAAGTTTAGTGGTTATCACGTGTCCTTAACAAAGATATCGGACAAGGTCGGGAGTTCGAGCCTCCCTCTGGTCATAAATTTTTTTTTTGCTTTGTTTGTTAAAATCCCTTTCTTTTCGACTCTCTTTTAACACGATTCTGGTGTGTGCTGGTTTCTGAACCACGCACGTGGGCAAGCAAACCCAGCATAACAATGCGCAAGCTCGAACAGTTAATTTTCTCGTCGTTTGTGAGATATTATTGGGTCGTGTAGAGTAGAATATAAATAAAAATCTAATTACACAAATAATAACTATCTTAAGCACATTGTATGTAGCATTATATTATTTGCGTAAATGGCATTTCTTAGTTGAGACGTTATTTTGAGACTTGTCGGAGGTGAAGCGAAGGCCTTGCTTGTTGTGGCTAATCGAATTCCTCGGATCATTTCAACGCGTGGTATAGGTTCCCAAGAATTGAATAGAACATCAGGAAGACCCGCGTCGGCTCCAGTTCCGTAAGTGGCCGCAATGGCGAGGACGGAGGAACCGTACACGTGGTCTATGGCTGGAAGTTGATCCTTCCTATCTTCGTGGCGGTCTTGGATGATGCAGAGTGGGTCGACCAGGAGGTTTTGATCGCAAAGCTTCAGCACAAGAGGCATGGCATCTTTGCTCGTCTGTGGTATTTGGTATTTGTAATCTTACTTCAGCACTGCATCTTTCTCTGCCAACTCCGGATGATAGCCTTAAAATAATTCGAATTGTTTGTCCGTTCCAGTGTCCTCGAAAGAAGAGTTAGCGGGAACGATGCACACGCTCTCTCCGTGTCGACTAGTCGAAAGTTCACTAGAAGGGCATAATTATTCCCATGCAAATATTGATCTGGGATCGCTTTATCGGTGGAAAATCGATATATTGGAGGTTGACAATCTGTAGAGTAACTAGTTTTTGACTAGATACAGGAGAGTAATTCCATAAAAACAGTGGGAATGGTTCCCTAGCTATATTCCTGATTCCCAACCCACCATGTGATCTATTACCCTGCACTTACTTGGTGGTGGTGTGATTATTAATCAGATTCCTGAACGATTAAGAAAGGTAATCGAATGGCGATACAAATAAATGATTGGTGTGTTCCGAGGTAAGCAATACCCAATAATAGGACGAACTGACTAGTGGTTGAACCTGGTGTGGAAGGAATGGATGCTAGCCAAGCTAGCTAGTTCAACAGGAATGATCGTCATGAAGTGAGGTAAGAAAGACTCTTCCGGCACATTCTATCCCAGAATAATGGAAAGGGGATGTCGATCTAGGAAACTGGAATCAATCATCCCTTTCCGTCGCTATGGACCAGCTGGCCTCAACGACGTGCTGAGTTTCCAGCGGTGACGTTCTCCGTTTCCAGAGCGGATCTGGATTCGCCCACAATAACAGCCGTCGAGTTTGGGACACCTTTTTCTGCAGTAAATATCTTTCCGCGGTAGCAATCGAGATTCGAGATCATTAACAGCCTTGCCCGCATGTTCGATCGGAGGTGAATTAGCCCCACAGATGTTGTCAGTCGTGCGCTTGATCAGACGAGAGAATGCACAGTGCTGTTTTCCCAGGATCCTAGAGTAGAAATCTAAGGGGATCTCCTCCGAGACAACCGAGATAGAGATTTCGAAGATGAGGTACTTGAAGTTTGAAGTGTTGCAGGGTTCGCGGGGCGATGATGGGTCTTGTTCTGGCACAGCTTCTAGGTTCTCGGTCCGCCATCTTCGGGATAGGACTTTGGTGATAGTAGACATGGCGCCTGTTTTTGAAGAAGAGAAAATACTGCCGATAGTTGAAGAGATTGCAACTTATAGAATGGAAAGTTCAGTTCGGCATTCTCAGCGCTGGCTTCAGCTCGCCGACCCCGCAAATCACCGTCTTCACTTTCATGAGCGTCTCTTAACCAAGACGGAAAAGCAAAATATGTTAGAATTTCGTCGCTATCGGCGAGACCTGCTCCCACTCCTCGACTGCGAGTCACTGACAATGGTTACCGTTCTTGTCTGCCTTATGCCTTCCTCCACATCTCCAACTCCCCGGCCTTGTAAAATATACTGCTCGCTCTCCGCATCACTAACTGGCTCACTCCTTACCCTCGACACGCCTTTCTCCTTTCCCTTCACTGCTGCCTCTTCCGGGCCCGTCACACTACTCAACGCATTCCAATTCGCCAAAGCAAAATCCTCTCTCCTCTGGCTGAGGTTATGTTGACCCATGCTCCGACTCATGTTATTATTTGAAGTAAAGTTTCGAGACGAGTTATGTCCTGTGCTGTTGAAACCGGTGAAGTTTAGCGCGCGGAGGAGGGGTCGAATGGTGATGAGAGAGGCGGCTGTTATGGCGATGCCAGGCTCGATGAGCGTCCATACCATAGCTGTTGTGCCTGTGAAAAGGATGTCGGAGTAGTCTGATAACTCGATGAGATATTTCACGCGAATGAGGGTGGCTATACTCGCACTGGGATTGTGTTAGCTTGGGTGATGGAGGGGTAGGAACGGGGACGGTAGGCAGGGACTTACAAGACACCAAGCGACAGCACGAATGCAACCGTGACCTTCTTCTGAGTGGTCAACTGTACCGACCAGATCATCGGTATCGGAATGATAGCATACATCCAATCCGTAATGACTGTCAAAACAGAGATCGAGTACGCAGCCGCGACGAAAGAATCTCCGGAAGCACATTTTGAGTTCTGGATAGTGAAGTCCCATTGTGCTTCTACAGGTGTGCATTGGAATATCTCGAAGAAGAAGATAGCGAGTGACCAGATGGTGACGATTACCATGCTGATTTTGAGGGTCCACGTATACCGCTTCTTGGTTGCGATCCGCAGGAGGAAGATGGCGATGCTGAGTTTTATGAACATCATGTTCGCTACGTACGTAAGTGTTGCTAGGGCTTGGTACTGGTGATGGCATCAACGATGGACTTCGGTTGGAAATAAGAAAGTTGAAGGGGACAGTGTGTACCTTCAGTCCCTGAATCCGCTCTGACGCGGGTAGACTATCATCGTGGTGACCCATCCCATAATGCACACCTCGGAGGATGAAGGAGCAAGATAATGTAAAGACGACCTTGAAGTACATTAATTTGGAGTGTCAACAAAGTCAGTTCAAGCGGTACTTACTTGTGCGACCAGCATCAACCAATCGTCCCACTGAAAGCTTTTCATAATCCATATCCGCACGAAAACCCTCAAGCCCACCGAAAGGTAGGTTAGAGTAAGAAAAAATATGGAGACCACAGCAAGTTGTGCGCCATTGTAGTCCTTGGGATCCAGCTCAGCCATTGGCCTCTATCCGATGTTGAAATCCGGGGTCAAAATCAACCAAAATAGGAATCGAGAAAAAGAACGTTTGCGAGATGGAACCACAAAGCTTATCAGGAAACTTTGGACCGGGCCATTCCACGTGGATGGCAGGGACACGTGAGATTGCTCGTCTGGCGGGCGGGATATCAGCCATCCTGAAGCAGGAATGTGAACTGTGCCGTTTTTGCTGGACCCGAAACGGGATGGCAGGGCTCCCAACCGGGTTAATCGTGCGGCGACGCTCGCACTAAACCAGCCACCCTGCAGTAAACCCGCAGGGACGCAGGGGCTTCAGTGCAAGTCTTGACGCACGATTAGCGGTCATTCGAGTTCAACCGAGTCAGTTGAACTGACAGGAAGGAGTTGCCAAGTCTATTTGGATGTTCCTTGAAGTTCTCCTCATTCGTAAGGAAGGTCACACGTACGTTAGGAATTTATCGAATAAGATCAGAAACTGCTGCGTGCTGCGGGATGCACCATTGCTAGTTCCAAAATAGGGAGCTCTCACAGAGTCACAGTGGCCCGATATATTGGACGAGGTCGCACGGGCACCCCTGGATTTGATCTCCAGCGCCTTCGTACGTCCGACTTGCATGAGAGGCCCAAGCGGGGGTGATCATGGATTGCAGGATTCTTTGTAAACCTCCCCCTCTCAGGATAATTCATATGAGAAGGCCTCAGGACGGGACCGTAAAGCCAAGGAATCCTCCGCGGTTTGGCAGTCGGCATTTTCTTTCAAAGGAGTCGCGTCTCCTTCAGGGTGCATCTCGCCGAAGGACAATAAAGTCCGAGGCATAAGTATGGGCCTTGGCGTTTTCGAGGCAAGACAATGAAGTCCATGGAAGCAGAGCATGAGAACATTGATCCCTGCCTCCCCCGACTATTGAAACGCTGATTGCGGCCGCATCCAGGATACGCCAGGGGAAACGCGTGGAAGCTCCATGTTCCCATCAGGTTCTGCACGCGGGATGCACAAGCAATCAGCCCTATACCAAATCGGACAGCTTACCAGGTTTAAACTACAGACTCAAGTGGTCCCAAATGCAGCTTACAGAAGCTTGACACATCAACTCCACTGAGCCCTGTGTTTCAGGCGCTTCAAAGGCCTGTCCTCTGTTTCTCGGCCCTGGGCTTCCGCTTCCGCTTCCGAGATGATTTGTAGGGGGGCCCTGCAATGCGGAGCGATACCGTAGCGCCCTGTGATCATAGCTTTTGGCTGACAAGTTGAAGGTTTCGTTTGATAAACATCTTTCCAGTACAAATACTAGAGCTTTGGTGTACCTACTCGCAACTTTTAAGAATCCACAAAAGGTTGCGCCCATGGGAAAAGCATTAGCGCCAAACTTATAGGGCATTATCGCTAAAACTCCAGGCTCCTCGTCGCTAAACCGAAGCGACTAAAGGGAAGAGCTATCTAAAGACATGCCATCCCTCGTTCACATGCACTTTACCCCGGAGAGGGAAAGCAGATTATAGGACCATCCTATTATCATCACCTGCTACCTTTTCAACAGTTCCTCTGCAGGCCAGTCATCAAGTTTGATTCTGATCACTCATCGCTGAGATGAAAAACGCGGCGCGACAAGTAATCCTGCCAAACGCCTCATCAACTTGCATCAGCCTTCTGCAAGTTACATCTAATGAAATTTCGAGTTCTCTTTGTTTCCAGTGTTGGATTTCAGGAATAACCTTTCAGACCACTGGTCCACTTTGAGAGACTGCACCCTCAACCTCGAAAACATATCTTC